GGACCCGACCACCCGATCCTGTCGGTTTCAGAAGGCGCACTGCGGTGCGCCGAAGCGGTGGGAATTATTGCCTAAGAGCGCTTTGAGCTTAGTTTGTAGGGCAGGGCTCGGGGGGATATAGGAGTTCGAAGGGGATGGGGGTTGGAGGTCAAGGGAATAGGTGAGAGGGAACCCCGAGACGGGAGAGGGAGAGGAGAAGGACGGGGAATGGAGGCGGTCACGTCGTGCAGGGAAGAACCCTTTTTCTTCCCTAGTGCCGCTCCGAGATTGTAGGGGGCTGGAGAGCCGGGGGGAGATGGGGTCGCTCGGACAGGGGAGGGGGGAGATGGCGGTGAGAGCGCCAAAAGGACGTAGGTTTTCTGGTGTTTGGGAGGTTGAGGTCTGGTGGTGGTAGCGGGGCTCGGATGAGGGGGAGATGTGGCCCGAGGAGGGCCATTCTATTTAGACACGTCTTCTCTGTGGGACTGGGTTGCTTGGTGAGGGACGAGGGTGAGAACGGTGCAGTACGAGACAGGGTGAATAGGTTTCCGGAGGACCAACCGTTCAGGTTAGTGGCGGTAAGGGGGAGGCGCCGTGCGGGCTACAATCCTCCCCCTGCGGTTTTCTGGAGGGTCTAGGAGCTGTGTGTCGTGGCAACGCTAACGCTTTTGTGGTCTCGCCGGACTATCCCGGGCCCCTGCAGTGGTGATCAGGCTTGTGCGGAATCCCCTTTCTTTATAAGGCTACTTCTCCCCTGGACCAGCCCAGGAAGGGACAGGTGGTGGAGGTCAGTTGTTTTAAGGTGGTTGCAAGACGTCTTGTGGTGTCGAGCTCTCTTAGCCTTTCTCTCTTGGAGGTTTTTTTGTTGGCCTGTTAGGTATATCAGGAGCCCTCCCCTGCCGGGACTGCCCTAACCGTATTTTTGTTTGTTTGTTTGTTTTTCCCTTCGAATCCCGTTTTCGTTGGTGGTGTTTTGGGGGGTTGTTTCAGAGAGCCTTTGACTTTGCCCTAGCTGAGACTTGTGGACTCGCTCTAGCGGGACCTGAGAGCCCTTCGTGGTGTATTCAATGCAGCGCCATCCCCGGATGGAGGGGCTGCGGAGTGGCTGCGTAGAGTGTTGGCAGTCTGA